TGAAGCTGCTTGTCTGGCGCTACGGGTGTCTCTGTTGGCCGAGTGGTCAGCGGTGGACACACCTTGAGCGGAAGTTGGTACAGTGCATCTAAAATGGAGAGGTTGTCTAAACTGTGACACCAGTTGGGTATGAACGTTGACAGACGAACATGATCCCTGGACCTGGAGGGGCTAAAAGTAGGCCTGTTAGGAGTTGCTGACAGCACAACCTTGCGGGAAAGATTCTCAGCTGTTTTTGTTGTGAGGTCGAACCACTGCACCTGATCGTACTTGGCCCTGAAGTCCGCAATTGACACGGACAAAAACTGATCTGAAGCTGAGGATGCACAGAAAGTTCTGTCTTTAGACGATCAAGAAGCTTCGCATCGCCCGGACCTATGGACCAAGAGAATTGATGCGACCAAGTTCTGATAACTGGCTCTGGTCCAAATGTTGGAGGCACTCAGCTATCTGGCACTGATCAGTAGAATGGCGCTGATCAAATGCCGATGCGAAGCCTGGTGCTGGTATGACAACTGTCGCTCAGGTGATGCCTGGCGCTGATCTGAAGGCTGCCACCAATCTGATCTTCTCCACAGTCACCGCGAAGTCCACTGACCTATGAGAGGGTAGCGCAAATCGTGGAAGATTCCCTAATGCCGGGGTCAGCATTATAAGTTCACCACGAGATCTTCTAAAAAGCTCTAAGTGTGACTTGGAGTAAATCTGCTATGACCTGGATCTCCTCTGAAGATGGAACACTGGGAGGAGTATCCAGAACCTCCTCGCCAGAAGCACTATCCAGAGAGGCGCCGTGGAGACAGGCGGGCGACCACTGGAGTGGCATACGCTCATCTTCATCCTCAAAGTTGTGCTCCAAGCAGATGATGGGAGTCGAAGAGGAGTCAGCAATCAAAGACTGAAGCCAAGGTTTAGGTGGCGCTGACAAACAAAACACCCGCGCTGTGGTGGTGTCCAGCTGCCTCTGAAAACCCACAGACCATCTATCCAACATGGCCTCGATATCTATAAAAAAAATCTCTCAAAGTCTTGAAGACCATTGCTGTCGACCTGGGAAGTGGCGACCGGTGACAGTTGACGACTGGCGCTGGACGAACGGCGCCTGGCTCTAGATGAACAAGTGAAGACCTTGAACAGTAGTGGTGCATAAAGCTTGAGCAGCGTCTGGCACTACGATATCTGGCACTACAATGTCTGGCACTACGATGTCTAGCATTACGATGTCTGGCACTACGATATCCGGCACTACGATGTCCGGCACTACGATGTCCGGCACTACGATGTCTAGCACTATGATGTCCGGCACTATGATGTCTGGCACTACGATGTCTGGCACTATGATGTCCGGCACTACGATGTCCGGGACTACGATGTCTGGCACTACGATGTCCGGGACTACGATGTCCGGCACTGCTATGTCCGGGACTACGATGTCTGGCACTACGATGTCTGGCACTACGATGTCCGGCACTACGATGTCTGGCACTACGATGTCTGGCATTGCGATGTTCGGCATTTTGATGTCTGGCACTACGATGTCCGGCACTACGATGTCCGGGACTACGATGTCTGGCACTACGATGTCTGGCACTACGATGTCCGGGACTACGATGTCCAGCACTACGATGTCCGGCACTACGATGTCTGGCACTACGATGTCTGGCACTACGATGTCTGGCACTACGATGTCCGGCACTACGATGTCCGGCACTACGATGTCTGGCACTACGATGTCCGGCACTACGATGTCTGGCACTACGATGTCCGGCACTACGATGTCCGGCACTACGATGTCTGGCACTGTTGGATATTATATTTCTTATCTGCCATCGTTATTGTAAGAATTTTCATAACATTTATTCTACAGAAACACTTCTGGGGTAACGGGTAAATGAAAGCATATTTAAATTAAACTCCCCTGTGCCTTCACTCCGTTGAACCGGAAGATGGCAGGGGTAATGGAGGCGAAGAACGATTTAACATACCACAAGTGGCGCTTAAAATGTTGAATTAAATATATTGTAATCTGAAAGCACAACTCTGTGAAGACATGGGTGTCTACCTTTGATGATGGCGATATTTTATTTTGACATTAAAAATATTTTATGAACCGAAGCGAGGGAGGCAGTTGCCAACCTTTGCTCGCTTCGCTCGCATATGGGAAGACTGGTTAGTTTTCTCTTTGATGCGCAACCCCATTTGCCTGTCACTAATCAAACACGCAACGTGACAGAAAACACGAATCTAATATCAAAATATAGTTGTTCAACAATCCAAATTGATTCAACAATCCAGCCTCAATGAAACACAAAATAGGACCAATGAAAGAGTTAACACTGAAATAATATCAGAGAAAATCGTAAACACAGCCTCATAGCAAAAATCTTTGAATAAGGAATGATGATATTCCGGTCATGCGCAGTGCACACAAATGACAGATTACTACTATTGAAATAACACTTTTTAGTCAGTGGAACATAAAATAGGTTTTTAGTGAACTAGAAGGAAAATGCATTTGTTGTGCAGCAGAATAAGTTACAAGAATACATTGTTAGAGACGAGAATTGATTTTTTCAATCCTCCTCTTGATTTACCATGATGAAATTAATGGTCAATTTGAGTTAAAGACGTTTGGTGACTTTGTGTTACAAATATGGTGTACGTGTTCCCAATCAGGTGTGTACTTTCTTTTTCACTTCAGTAGATTAACTGACGGAATAATGCTAATAATACTTAAATTGCCATGCCGAGTTGTTAACAGTACTGAACAATAGGTAATACTACGTAGTATAATTAACTGGTATGGCAAGAAGGAATATGATCATAATGCCCTTACAGTCTTTGTGCCCTGATGTTATAGGTCACTGTGCCCTGATGAAGTGGGTCAATGTGCCCTGACGGAGTGGGTCATTGTGCCCTGGTCGCATGGGCCATTGTACCCTGACGTAGTGGGAGATCATGCCATGATGGCGTGGTTGACTGTGCCCTAATGGCGTGGGTCATTGTACTTTGGTGGCGTGGGCCATTGTGCCCTGACGGAGAGGATCGCGGTGCCGTGACGTAATGGGTCATTGTGCCCTGATGGCGTGGTCCATTGTGCCCTGATAGCATAGGTCATTGTGCCCTAATGGCGTGGTTAATTGTACCCTGGTGACGTGGATTATTGTGCCCTGATGTCGTGGATCATTATGCCCTGATGGCGTGGTACATTGTGCCCTGATGGCGTGGGTCATTATGCCCTGATGGCGTGGATCATTGTGCCCTGATGGCGTGGTCCCTTGTGCCCTGATAGCATAGGTCATTGTGCCCTAATGGCGTGGGTCATTGTGCCCTGGTGGCGTGGGTAATTAATTGTGCCCTGGTAATTGGGTCACTGTGCCCAGATGTAATGGGTTAATGTGCCCTGGTGACGTGGGTCATTGTGCCCTGTTGACGTGGTCTAATGTGCCCTTAAAAGGTGGCCCATTGTGCCCTTAAAAGGTGGCCCATTGTGCCCTGATGGCGTGGGTCACTGTGCCCTGATGACGTGGTCCATTTTGCCCTGATGGCGTGGGTTATTAATTGTGCCCTGGTAATTGGGTCAATGTTCCCTGATGTAATGGGTTAATGTGCCCTGGTGATGTGGGTCATTGTACCCTGATGGCGTGGATAATTGTAGCAATGTGGCGTGGGTCATTCTGGCATGTTGAATGAGCATATGTGCCCTGATGGCGTGGATCATTGTACCCTTGTCGCGTGGGTCATTCTGGCATGATGTAAAGAGTCAATGTGCCCTGATGGCGTGGGCAATTGTGCCATGGTAATGTGAGTCAATGTGCCGTGATGTAATGGGTCCATGTGCCCTGGTGGCATGGATTATTGTGCTCTGACGGAGAGGGTTCAATTTGACCAGATGGCGTAGAGCACTGTGCCCTTATGGCGGGTGTCAACTTGCCCTTTGTCGTGGGCCAATTTGCCCTGGTTGCGGGGGTTCTTTTGCCATGATGGAGTGGGGCTTTGTGTCCTGATGGCATGGGTCATTGTGCCTGTTGACGTTGTCCATTGTGCCCTGATGGCGTGGGTAATTAATTTTGCCCCGTTGGTGTGGGTAATTAATTTTGCCCTGGTGGTGTGGGTCAATGTGCCGTGATGTAATGGGTCAATGTGCCCTGATGGCTTTTGTCACTGTGCCCTGATGGCATGGGTTATTGTGCCCTGGCGGAGATGGTTCAGTTTGACCTGATGGCGTAGGCCATTTGCCCTTATGGCAGTTGTCAATTTGCCCTTTAGCGTGGGCCAATTTGCCCTGGTGGCGGGGGATCTTTCGCCATGGGTCGTGCTCTGATGGCGCGGGTCATTGCGCCCTGATGGCGAGTGCCAATGTACCCTGACGCAGTGAGTCATTGTGCCCTGATGTTATGGGTCAGTGTGCCCTGATGGCGTGGGTCAGTGTGTCCTGATGGCGTGGGTCAGTGTGCCCTAATGGTGTGGGTCATTGAGCCCAAATGGCGTGGGTCATTGTGCACTGATGGTGTGGGTCAGAGTGCCCTGATGGTGTGGGCCAGTGTGCCCTGATGGCGTGGGTCATTGTGCCCTGATGGCGTGGGTCATTGTGCCCTGATGGTGTGGGTCAGTGTGTCCTGATGGCGTGGGTCAGTGTGCCCTAATGGTGTGGGTCATTGAGCCCAAATGGCGTGGGTCATTGTGCACTGATGGTGTGGGTCAGAGTGCCCTGATGGTGTGGGCCAGTGTGCCCTGATGGCGTGGGTCATTGTGCCCTGATGGCGTGGGTCATTGTGCCGTGTGGGCCTCACGGAGTGACCTGATGGTGTTAGTGACTGCTCGTTGTTTTGTCATATACCTGGTCGGACTTACTTGAACGCTGTGAATACTCCAGAGTGCCGCGATAAAACAACATCCACACGCAATCCCAAATCCTTACATTAATGAAATTGTATACACATTTTCCATAATGGAAAACTATTAAGTATTGGCATTTGCTGTAAATATAACAGAAAACGTTTCAGTCTTGCTAAATTTATTTGTCAGTCTGGTTGGGTAGCGTCTGAAATAAAATAAGAACCTATTACTCATGTGACTTGTTATGTGAGAATTACAGACACGTCTCTCTGTAAAAGTCTGCAAACCAGATCGAGTGATTCTGCACCACTTTCTTCAAGCCAGTGATTGATACAGCATAAACAACTTTCTTCGCAGTTGTGATCTCTCTCTCTGAGATATAGATTTGACTCTCTCTCTCTCTCTCTCTCTCTCTCTCTCTCTCTCTCTCTCTCTCTCTCTCTCTCTCTCTGTCTCTCTGTCTCTCTCTCTGTCTCTCTCTCTGTCTGTCTCTCTCTCTCTCTCTCTCTCTCTCTCTCTCTGTGTCTCTCTGTCTCTGTCTGTCTGTCTGTCTCTCTCTCTGTGTCCCTCTCTCTCTGTCTGTCTCTCTCTCTCTCTCTCTCTCTCTCTCTCTCTCTCTCTCTCTCTCTCTCTGTCTCTCTCTCTCTCTGTCTGTCTGTCTGTCTGTCTCTCTCTCTCCCTCTCTCTCTTTGGTGTAACCTGCCGTGATAAGAATGGAGTAAAATCCAAATCAAACTCCAACCTACTCCAGTACCTACCATTGTCCGCCATATCTCCGTCTTCAGTTGCTGCGAGTTGCCTCCTCCAACACCATCCTGCCACACTGACAGTGGTTGCTGTTTCTCTTGTGAGGCACTTGTGCTTGAAACAAAGACAGACGTAGTAGTAGTAGTAGTAGTAGTAGTAGTAGTAGTAGTAGTAGAAATATGGGTAGTAGTAGTAGTAGTAGTAGTAGGAATAGTAGTAGTAGTAGTAGTAGTAGTAGAAGTAGTAGTAGTAGTAGTAGTAGTAGTAGTAGTAGTAGTAATAGTAGTAGTAGTATCAGTGGTAGTAGTTGTAATAGTTGTAGTAATGGTAGTAGTTGTAGTGGTAGTACAGTAAATAATAGAGTCTGAACCAGACAATCCAGTGATCAACAGCATAGGCATCGATCTACGCAATGGGGATACAATGACAAGTGTCAACCAAGTCATCATCATCAGTGAAATTTATCACCACTGTATTCGCTTAACTAAATCCAGAATATGTAGTTTCCACGGCAACCAAATATGGAACCATCATTTTATATATTTCTTGAAGGGGAAATGCTCCATGTTTCCATTGACTGTTCTAAATTTCTTAAAGCAGAAACATATTATCTGAAAACTTCCACATGGCACTGTCAAGTTTGAAGTTAATATTGAACAGGGTTTTTTAAGAATATTTTCTGACTCTGGTGGTCTTCGCTATGACAGGATGAAACGATATGCATTCAGCCAATGTTAGCTGGAAGAGACTATTAATACGGTTCATAAAAGCTCTTTCATTTATTTAAAAAAAATATAGTTCGTGAAAAGATAAAATATATACTAATTGGAGCCTTAATTCGTAGTGCATATAGTGCATATATACTACGCATCAAAAGTTTAGACTCACTAGCGTAAATGTAGCCACTTACTTAAGTCAACTGTTCTAAACTAGATTTTGCAAAATTTTCCATTCTGTTTAAAGGTACTGTTTACACATGAATTGATGTATTGTAAAAAACATTTGTAACGTTGATAAAGTTATTGTCATAGGTTCAATAAATGATGAAATTCAGTGAAAATAGGATAATTCTTAACAAAGTTTTACATTGAAACGCAGCAGTTCACATGCAAGATATTTGCAGTTCATCTGCATAAGGTTTGCAGTTGGTTCCCCCAAGTTAGTGGAGAAACCAATCTTCGATGTAAATATATATATATATATATATATAGTAACGAGCAGAAAAAATGCGATTAAAGATTTTTTTTGTAGACTCGATCCTACTATCAAAAAAGCCGAAATACATTGTTTCTAGCCGCCAGTAGCTTGCCTCATTGGTATGGAATTATCTCCCTTGGGTTCGGGGGGATGGCTTGATCACGTGACCTCGTTGCTAGCAGACGATACCGAAGCTTTGCCATGACGTTACAAAACAACAGAAATCGACTCTTGGCATATTATGAAGCAGGTATTACATCCGTCACTAGATTTGTGAAATTGGCGGGACTGCATCGGGCCTCTGTTTACCGAAATTTGAAGAAATTTGACGCAGGGCTAGGGACAGAGCGACAGGCTGGATCGGGACATCGTGCTACTCTTGGGGCAAATGACTGACGACGTATCGCGCGTCTCGCGGTGGCATACCCAAACTGGTCTGCAAAACAGCTTGCTGTGAAGGCGTCAAGTCAAGGAACCCCTAAGGTATCAGAGTGGATGTATGAAAAATATAACTGAATTTATCAGTAAATAAATTTTGAATTTACGTCTGTGAAAAGTCACATTTGTTCTTCTCGTTACTGTACATAACATATAGTGAGTGCTTTAGGTGAGTCTAAACTTTTGATGGATAGTATAGTATCTACGACAACCCACATTGGCTATGTCATTCTAAACATATTTCTTGAACATTGAAGACAGTAGGTTAAACATTGAAGCTGTGTTGAAATTTTAAAATATTATGATCAAACGATTTGACATTTCAACTGCAAAAGCTATACTGAAAGGCAAAAGAAACGTTTCAGGCATAAATTGCCGGCTTGAATATATAGCTAGGTTAACTTGAGATCAACGACAACATTGGACGTCTACACGCTGGTCAACGCGCTCGAGTCATTGCTAATGACCTCAGTTGCAGTACGAACGATAGAACGTCTTAGACAGCGATACAACGCTACCAACAGCACTGATGACCGTCCACGTAGTGGTCGACCTCGTCATATCGTCCATCAACATCTCTCGTTAACCTAGCTGCTGTGTTCACAAAACAAGTGAACGATTGCCATTCAAGCCGGCAAATTATTCCCGAATGCATGCATGATGCACGTGCATCTCGATTACAATATTGTGTTTGTGCGAACTCTTCCCTTTCCACAAACAAAAAACATTCCTCAAACAATGCTTTATTGGGCAAAACAGGCTATACGACCACGATTGATGTTTTCCTCAAACTTACTTCTGGTGTATCTTTAAAAAAATAGGTTCAAATTCTTCATTGATACTTAAATGTCATTTCCAATATTACGACGGATTTTTTTGCCTTTCAGTATATATTAAAGCACGTAGCATATTATATTGAAATTTCATCATAATACCGTACAGTTTCAAATGACTTTTTAAAATTTTTGAACAACGTTTCTTCCAGAAAGAACATTTTATGGCCCTGCTGGTTAGCCGTAGGTACACTATCCGACAATCGGTACCTACCTGCACGCTCTACAGCTTCCAACAACTGCTCCGTGCCAACGAGACCGTCACCTGAATACAGCAGAAATTATTTAAATGAAATGTTTTTTATGGTTTAAAGGAGGAAGATTCAACTTCAGATAAATTCAAATAAGATCATAATGGTTAGCTCAGAATTTGTCTGGTTCGTGACATTAAAATCAAGAACCATGCAGAATCCCCTTTCTGGACGCGAACAGAAGAACCTAAATTCCAGAATCGATTACTGTCACGAGCAAGCCACCATTTACTCATGAAACAGAAGATCGTTTACGCAGCAAAGCATCGTGTAATTTGATTGGATGTCTAATTTTAGTGTCGTTTTCAACGAGGTTGTAAACACTGGGTACAGGGTATTTGTAAAAATAAACAAGGGCACAATACGCCAGAAAATCGACAAGGTGATATAAGTCTAGAAGAGAGGATGGTTGTTGACTCTTTATCGAAAAGAAAAGAAAAACACGAATCACATTACGAGTCGCCATTACGGTTTTGTTAAAATGTGCAACTTCGAAGTGGAAATAAAAATTATACAATCGAAATCGAGGTGAAATTATCTTTACAACATATTTACGTTTGTTCATTGAGTTTCGCATGAACTCCTCCAGAAGTGGATCATCTTCATCAACGTCAATCAAGGTAGAAACATCACGTTTTCCCAAACGTTTGGATTTAACGACATCCCTCAGCAGTTTGACGATGTCCTCCTGAATCGTGTTGCAATTACAGTTGTTGGTGTTGTGAGTTGTCTTTCGCACGTTGTGGCTCCGGCGCCGACGCCTACGGCCCCATAACCATCCTTCGCCTTCCTCCGGGGTGAGCATCAGCACCACCAGCAGCAGAACCAGTGTTGGACGCAACATCATCATGCAATAAACTGTATATCGACCATTTTATTTATTTATTTGTTTGCTAGTTTGCTGGCGGGAGTGTTTGTTCGTCCCTTAGGAAAGTGACTTTAATACAGCGATAAAAATAAATAATAGTATGATAATTATAATGATAGTAATATACTAATGTCCAAGAGAAACAATACCAAACATTTTTCAATATATTTTTTAATCAAGTTTTCCTTTTTGTATGACAACATACTTGAGCATTTCCCATGTTCCGAACCAAACATATTAGATCTAAAATTCTGGGAACATTTGATAAACTGAGAAACAAAATGCGCACTTTGCCAATAAACTGTATACAGATCATTGCATGCATTCATTCATTCATTCATTCATTCATCTATTATTTATCCATCTATACTGAACCGCAAAAGAAACGCCCCACCGATAGAGTTTTTCACGCCTTAATTCGCTCTAATTAACAATCAAAAAGGAGGTGTGAGTTCAAACTTGACAATTATGGTTAACACATTTTCGGGAATCACATTTAGAGTTCACACAAACAAAATCACCAAAATTGGTAACATTAAGATACCTCAAAGTCAGTATCGTGTGTGGCCTCTTTGGGTATCGATGACGGCGTTGCTTCGTCTGTACATGGAATGAATTAGGCGGTCGATGAAGATCATTGGCACTTGGGTCCAGACTCTGCGAAATGCCTGGTCGAGTCCAGCCGCAGTTGTCGGCCTTGGTTGGAGGTTATTCAGTCTCCTGTGAGTCTCGTACCAAAGGTGTTCCATTGGACGTAAATTTGCACTGGGTGCACGCTATCGTAGGCTTTGGATGCCATGTTGTCTTAGGAAGTCCAATGTTGCTCTGGCAGTGTGGGCACGAGCGTTGTCTTGCTGGAAGATGTGATTTCTGTAACGTCCAAAATGAGGTACAACGTGGGGTCTTATGACTTGGTCATTATAGCCTGCAGCTGTTACGTCATTTCCTCATCCTGGACCAAGATTCTGGAACACCATGGGGCCAAGTCCCTGTTTCGGACCGATTGCACCCAACAACATGATGATTGGACCACCCCACGAGTCTCTTTCAACAGTACACTATTCTGAAAACTGTTCGCCTTCGCCATACATTCACTCTGCCATCGGCTGTGGAAACACAATGTCGGCTTTCATGAGAAGAAAGCACAGTTCTCCATTGTCCACAACGCCATTTTGGTGAGGAGAGTACCACGATATGGTCTGTGACAGCAGAGGTTTCTTCCGCGCAAACGTCAACGCACTTTATAGCTAAAATTCATGGAATTATCATGAAACGGTACTCCCATTATCAGAAATTTGCGGGCCGCTGCAAATGATATTGGACCGCTCAACCTTAACGACGGGCCACTATCAGTTCTGTTGTCAAGTGACGTCATAGTGGGTGCGTTGGCTTACGGTTCATTCGACATTGGCTTTGGACTGGCAGATATTCTGGGTCAAACAAGTCAAAGGAACCCGAATTCCCGCTTTAAAAAGCGGTAATATTGGCTTTCTTCTTGGTGCTAACCTCAACAATTGCACTATTAACGTTGTTGTTGGACCAAAACCGAACACTGACATAGTTTGACATGTTGCAGGCAATGGTTTTGTCAAAGGCCAAGGTCGAATATCGTCACTTTCTGTTGTGACTTCACTTGAATTGTTCGATGACGTAATTGCATTCGGGCAGTCAACCTCATCAGAAGTTTTTTTTAGCAAACTTACAGTCACATTCCTTCATTGTTTCCTTTTTCTTTTCAACACAAATTCCATGAATTTTAGCAATAATAACGGTAATGTTATTTTTGAGGGCATTATCATTTGCAGAAGCCCTCGGTCTTTTTTCAACTGCCATCCTTCGTCGGGCAGTTAATGGAAGAGCTCGGGCTTCTGCAAATGATAATGCCCTCAAAAATAGCATTACCCTTATAGTATCGGCACTGATGGGTCTGTTGTGAGTCCAAATAGACTGGCGTGCTGTTTCTGTTGCTATGGTGAAGCGATCCTGCAGATGGTTGCACACAATTTGTCGGTCTTGACGTTGTGGTGTTACTGCAGGTTTCCCACTGCGTGGACAGTCATGTTAGTGGCCTGATACCGCTCCTGCAGTCTGGCCAACTTGCAATCATCCCAAGGTTTGGCTCCTCTGATCTCTCGTAAGTCGCGGCATGGCGATTGTGTCAAAGCAAGAATGATTGCAGGCGATTGCATTAAAAGACATGTTAACAAACGGTACAATAATAACAAAAACACCAAAATTTTGCGTTTGGTTGTGAAAGGTGACGTTTCCTTTGCGGTAATTCCCTCTTTTATATATAATTTTTATTTATTTAGTATTTTGTAGCGGTACGCCTTTTTGATAGCGCTCCAGAGTTGCCTCCCTTGGCTTTATTATGTTTTGACTCCCGGTCGTATGCTCCACATGTTTCGCAGATGTTCTCAGTGGATAAAGAATTTTCAAGAATCTGTGTCAGTATATATAAGGCTGGTTGTTGTGTTGACACACACATGGAATTACACGGGACTTTGCATATCCCTTGAGTTGTGTACATCTTTGTGTACCGTCGTCATCTGTCTGCCATCATCTGACCTACATTCAAGATTGACAGTGCGAGCCTGAATGCTCTAATTGTAAACTACCTTCAATTAGAATATCTGCTCTTATTGTAAATGCCAAGACTAAATATTTCATGAGTTTAATAAAAATGGTATTTCACGGAAGCGAGTATGGTATTCTGTTTATTACCCTCTATCATAAATTGATAGAAACTGCCTACAGTGTGATGACTCTTAGCTTTCCGTTAGGGCATCCTCCCAAAATGCAGGCCCGTTAAGACAACACTTTTTATGCTTGGTTGCATCCGTGATTAGTAGGCTGTACCCTTGATTAAGAAAAATGGTACATTGTATCACCCATGTAATGAGTTTTAAAAAAATTGACTTTATTTATTTAATCAACAATATTTAAAAGCTGTAAAAAAATATTCATCGAGACGATCTGATAAGAATAATATTTTACCGGAAACATGGTATGTATATTTTAGAGATTCATTAAATCCTGTATCACGTGATGACTTTGACCAGGCGTGGGCTGCTTATATTGGAAACTATATTCCTGAACATAGTTATGAACATTATACTGATTGTGTAATTGATGAACTGTCTTATGATATAACAATAGCTGAAATTATATCTGCAATAGACGATGCAAAACTGAATAAATCACCAGGAGACGACGGTATTCCAATAGAATTTCTAAAGAAAATTAAGGATATGATTGCACCGTACCTTGCTTTATTGTTTTCACAAATATTATGTAAAGGTCATTTCCCAGCTGCATAGACTACTGTTATTATAATATCTATATATAAAACTGGAAGTAATAATGAGCCTGGTAACTATAGGGGCATATTCTTGTTGAACACTTTGTGTATTTTACTTACATCTATCATAAACAAGATGAGTAATACCTTTGTCAAGAATGAAGGTGTATTTGGTGAAAACCCGAGGTGGGGGGGGGACGAGCGTTTGGAAAACACCATTCAACAGTTGACAGCATATTCATTCTTCCATCTATTGTTCAAATGCATATAACTTGAAGAAAAGGCAGATTCTACTGTGCTTTCGTGGATTTCAAGAAAGCGTTCTACATGGTTAACCGAAATAAATTACTTCATCTTCTTTCAAGAAATGGTATCCATGGAAAAATATTTCGTGTTCTTCAACATTTATATATGACAACGTGAAGTCTGCTGTAGTTGTCGGCGAAGGGAGAAAACTATCTGATTATTTTGATTGTTACACTGGTGTTAGACAAGGATGTCCACTTAGTCCCTTGTTGTTCTCCATATTTATCAAGTGTGGACCATGCCATTCATTAATTAGGGGATGACCATTGTCACAAAGGTACTAGCATTGTGACGTCATAACTGTAAACCATTATGACGTCATACGTCTAGCGGTATTACACTCGTGTAATATTGCTGTAAAAATATTACACTGCACTTTTATTACCCATATGGGAAGGAGGACACAGGGTAGTTATTTTCCTGTAAGTCCCTAAGGAGGTTACGCCTTTTGGTGAACGTTGATTGGCTGATTCCAATGAAATGAAGCCGCATTATAGGTACAACTGCAGTATTCATTTTAGCGTATTTTAAATCGAAAACTGATATGTGTAATAAACACAATAACAAACACATGTCGGGAAATGACAGATTATCTTTCTTTCATTCGCCAAAGCTCGAGAATTACGTAAGTGATATAAATCTGTCATTCCCCGTCACTTGTTAGTTATTGTCAAAATCTTCCACGGGCGAGTAATAACCATATACATCAATATCGCTTGCCAGCCCTATTACATATTAATGCCAGCCCACATTTAAGAAATACAGTTCGCTCTACCACCATGTATAGTGTAATAAAACACACTTTCGCCCTGAACTATTATAGTTAAAGTACGATGACGCTTGCGTCCGAGTGCTTTAACGTTATAATAGTTCAGGGCGAAAGTGTGCTTTATTACACTATACATGGTGGTAGAGCGAACTGTATTTCTTTTCTAAGATGCCAAATTTAATACTTTCTAAAGATAATTACGATTAATTTTTAGGCAGAAAACAAACGACGGTGTCGGTGACCTAAATTAAGAATCCTCGCACAGGGCTAACTGGCGCGCTGTTCGATTGATGTGTCTGCCCCCCTACGTTAAGACGAACGTTACCAGAAAAAACCCAAATGATAACAGTTTGATGACGGTTTACGTTCGGATTAAATATCTTCTCTGAATTATTTTAATTACATCTGTCATTAACGCAAACCATATGGGGCAATATGAACGTCGCATTTCTACTACCAACGTAAGTTTAGATCAGTACATCCAGATGAAGCTGAGTAGTCAAGCGACATTCCACGATTGCATTGTGGGAATGTAAACATTGCGAACGTTACCGTGTCGCTGAAAACTTGTGAGTCGAATTGACACATTTTAACCGTCGTAAAACACAAACGTAATGTTTCCACCAGTGATGTTAGCTGCGTGAAGCAACTGCAAACCAAGAAACGGGATGCAACGGAGTAGTTTACTGTAGGAGGCTGTACGAGGCGATGACAACTGACATGCATCGTGAAGTCGCTTACATTGTGACGTAATGTAAAATGGTTCGATTACGAGGGGGCACACTAGAATGGCGCAGTGACGGGATAACGTCATTTAATTGTTACGTCATCAAAAAACTATACTTTTATTGTCTGAAAATGTTTGTTTTTTTCGATTGTTCTAACCGCTAGGCATCTTAGAATACCACAAAACAATCTAGCTGTCGGTTATTCGGTCATTCGGGCAGACAATCGACTCAAAACTAAATGAAAAAAGTCAGTGTTTATTTTGCCAGGTTAGAATTGAACTAACATACTGTAAATTTCAATGTAGAGCAAGGTTACCTGTAAATTTAAATCTCTTTGTGATATTGCTGGAATATTGCTAAAAGACGACGTAAAACCATATTCACTCACTGTAAATTTAAACGCGCTCCATTGTTCAACAAAGAAAACAGATTCTGAAATTTATGAAAGCCATAGTGTCAAACTTACCAGTCGGTTCCTCTTGGAAGCTGTGATCGTCGGCGGTCTTCCTCCCTGATTTATTGGTGATAGGTGTCACAGTTTCGTGTGTGTAGGTGAAAGGACAACAGGTGTTGTCGTGATACGTTCTCTTCAGATATATGGTATTACCTTACTGAAATTCTTATCTTCACAGCTCAGGATATCGCTTCCTGTTCAGTGAGTTGGGTGGTTGATGTTTAACGCTGCACTCAGCAATATCCCAGCTATATGGCTGCGGTGTCTACAATCGAGTTTAGACCAGACCATCCAGTGATCAACAGCATGATCATCGATCTACGCAATTGGGATAAGGTGACATGTGTCAACCAAGTCAGCGAGACTGACCACCCGATCCCGTTAGTCCCTTTTTGCGACAAGCATGGGTTGTTGAAGGCCATGACTAGCCCGGATAGCCTGACCATCCGATCCCTTGAGATATTATTATTATTATTATTATAGGGTATTTATATAGCTCTTATATCCACGCAACTAGTACATGCTCGATCAAGGCGTTGATATTTTTTAGCTCGATCATTGGACGTCAGTCTAAACTCGTACGATAATACATCGTATTATCAATCTCAACTCCCTGGGGAGTATACAACTCTTGCAGCCACTAAGCGCACAGAGTTATTGTGGCTTTCTCATCCTAACGAGGTACCCATTCACAGCTGGGTGGACTGGGACACATAGTCACAGTACTTTGTCCAAGTCTACTGCACGTTGCTATACCCGCAACTAGGTGTTTGCACGTATTCATGTGGCCACCATCTGGTCATTTACAAACGGATTCGTGGGTTCTTTTAAGTGCACATGGTTGTGTACTGTACACTAGGGTTTGTGCACACAAAGGTGTCTCCAAGGCTTTTACACCCGGTCACAGGTGGGCTAGATCCCGACACCACAAGCTTGCTGGATCACTAGCCTGGCGCCTTAGACAGCTCGCCCATTACGCCCCAAGTGGCCTCTTACGTCAAGCATGCGTTACTGAAGACAAATTCTGGACTGTAAATATCCGAGCCTGGCCCACATAGCCCAGTGGTTGACAATATGAGCATCAATCTGTTATGTCGCACTGGGGAATTTTAGAACGGTTTGTGGGTAAACCAGAACTGACAATCCAATGATTGACAAAATGAGCCTCAATCAACGCAGTTGAGATTTGATGGCCTGTGTCCACCAAGTCAGCGAGCCTGACAACCCGATCCCGATAGTCGCCCACACACACTCTCACACTCACACACACACACACACACACACACACACACACACACACACACACACACACACACACACACACACACACACACACACACACACACACACACACACACACACACACACACAGATCGTAAGGGTATGTCAATGTGTGTTATACACTGACAAAGACGAAGGAATACAATATATACGTTGAGTTCAAACTTTAGTTGGCTATACAAAACATGTTGAACAAATGCAAATAGACAGCAATTGCAATGAGCTGCACCGAATATCTGGAAATTCCATTTTTACAAAGATGTTGACATTTTTAATCAAATTATTTAGAACAATAAAAGGTGCTTATAAACAGAAAAAGCGTATATGACTCAGATTGGAAAGAGGCAGGTATCAGTTTGCCAATTACTATGAAAAATGGAAATTTCCTGCGAAGACAAACATTATCTAGGATGGGTGTCTTCCCATAATAACTACATCCCCTAAAACCTGCAGCTTAAAACAACACATGTTATGGTCCAGTGCACAGAATAACTACATGCTGTTACCTGCGTCTGCTTAATCGATTTACCCAACACAAAGCAAATAACACATATATAACATGTTTGCTGTGGCAGTTCATGTTGGTTTTGATAGTAAATAGTTTGCCGTCACAAAATGGTAATTTGCAGTTTTCAGTTATGATTGAACATTTTCCGCATCCAGGTGTTTGACATTTTGTTACACTGACTGATAAACCTGTTTTCATAGCATCACTTTTATACAAAATTGGAAGATTTGCTTTTATAATGGGCATAATTGTACAGTTATTAGGATTGTAGGTACAAACAAATAGAAGAATGTCCATCCCGGGATTTGTTTCTTTTGTTTAAGTGTCTCTCTTGGGACTCTTACTGCTTTATGAACAGCATTTTCTAATACCTAAGAAGATATGTATCTATTACATATTACCTACTGTCACTAACTGCAACGTCCTACGCATGATGACGACATAGCTACTACCGTTATGCGTCGCCTATGACGACACTTACTTTTCATTGTACACATGAAGAACCGTTGACCGGCCAAAGATCTTGTGCAGATAAAGTCTGGAGTTTTATATAAATGTAGCGGCCATAAAATTTCAGATTGGAACCACGGACCTTCTAATCCGAAGTCGGACGCCTTGTCCACATGACCAAACAGGTTAACCCCGTCAGCAAGCTGACAAGGTAAGGATGTCATCTGTGGGATGACTCCACGCCCTGCTACATATAGATGTATGGATAGTTCATCTATAGATAGTCTTATATATTTAGTGTGGTAATTTAGTGTCACTTTCATCCTCAGTGTTCAATCTGATCCATGTAGAACTAGTTTAGCCCAGCTTCAATAAGTAGCCAACTTCATGGAGGTCCTGGATTGTAGCCTATAACAATACTATTTTAACTTAAAAACTCATTCGTTTATATTTCACTGACAGAGTTTGGTTTTACGCCGCTTTTAGCAATTTTCCAGCAACATCACGGCGGGGACACCTGAAATGGGCTTCACACATTGTACCCTGGTGGGGATTCGAACCCGGGTCTTCGGCTTGATGAGCCAACGCTTTAACCACTAGGCTACCCCCCGCCCGTTTATATTTCACCTTTACTCCAATATACCTTTACCTTTTGTTTCTTTTCTATCATATGACTACAAAAACATTCACTACAACATACTTTTCTCTCTTGCCCTTTACTTTCTGGCTATTAGATTACCTTTACAACAACATAAGTAGTGGCCCATAGGATTGTATGCATGTAGTTCTTCTGCGAGAGCTGATGGGCTGTGCTCATTACATGCCATGGGGGTGCCTCTACTCAGATCATTAATCCCTAATTAATCCCTGTAGTTAATTTGGGATGTAGTTCAAATGGGATGTAGTTCTTATGGGAGTAAACCCTAGGATGTATGGATTAGAAATTTCCCAAAGAAAATACAGATTTAACGTATGTTATATTTAGGATTACAATTTCTTAGTAAAGTACAGATTCTAGTACTTTTTTGGGGGGGGGGGTGGGGGGGTAGTGTGTGTGTGTGTGTGTGTGTGTGTGTTGAGTCCCATCCGGGATTCCAACCCAATCGTAAATATAACATACGTTACATTTGACCACTTTCTAAAATGGCATTGTGTATTTCAAAATACAGATTGTATACCAATGCCATAAAAAGATCAATTGTCAAAATGGTTATGACTTGTTCTTTTCCAAGTGGTGTTTGCCCAGACGTAAGCGGTGTAAAAGTCGCTGATATTACTGATACTGCATAACATTCGTTCTGTGGCATAAGAGGATACTTATAAATGGAAATTGTACAAGAATCATAATTAGAAAATAAATACAAGCAATTACAGTTTAAAATTCTTCAGTCAATTTTGCCTTGAACAAATTAAATAGTAAACTGTGTGGACACTGTGTCAATGTTAAAGATAGTAAACTGTGTGAACACTGTGGCAATGTTAAAGATAGTAAACTGTGTGAACACTGTGGCAATGTTAAAGAGAGTAAACTGTGTGAACACTGTGGCAATGTTAAAGATAGTAAACTGTGTGAACACTGTGGCAATGTTAAAGAGAGTAAACTGTGTGAACACTGTGTCAATGTTAAGGATTGTAAACTGTGTGAACACTGTGGCAATGTTAAAGATAGTAAACTGTGTGAACACTGTGGCAATGTTAAAGATAGTAAACTGTGTGAACACTGTGGCAATGTTAAAGATAGTAAACTGTGTGAACACTGTGGCAATGTTAAAGATAGTAAACTGTGTGAACACTGTGGCAATGTTAAAGATAGTAAACTGTGTGAACACTGTGGCAATGTTAAGGATTGTAAACTGTGTGAACACTGTGGCAATGTTAAAGATAGTAAACTGTGTGAACACTGTGGCAATGTTAAGGATTGTAAACTGTGTGAACACTGTGGCAATGTTAAAGATAGTAAACTGTGTGAACACTGTGGCAATGTTAAAGATAGTAAACTGTGTGAACACTGTGGCAATGTTAAAGATAGTAAACTGTGTGAACACTGTGGCAATGTTAAAGATAGTAAACTGTGTGAACACTGTGGCAATGTTAAAGATAGTAAACTGTGTGAACACTGTGGCAATGTTAAAGATAGTAAACTGTGGTTAAAGATAGTAAACTGTGTGAACACTGTGACAATGTTAAAGATAGTAAACTGTGTGAACACTGTGGCAATGTTAAAGATAGTAAACTGTGTGAACACTGTGGCAATGTTAAAGATAGTAAACTGTGGTTAAAGATAGTAAACTGTGTGAACACTGTGGCAATGTTAAAGATAGTAAACTGTGTGAACACTGTGGCAATGTTAAAGATAGTAAACTGTGTGAACACTGTGGCAATGTTAAAGATAGTAAACTGTGTGAACACTGTGGCAATGTTAAAGATAGTAAACTGTGTGAACACTGTGGCAATGTTAAAGATAGTAAACTGTGTGAACACTGTGGCAATGTTAAAGATAGTAAACTGTGTGAACACTGTGGCAATGTTAAAGATAGTAAACTGTGTGAACACTGTGGCAATGTTAAAGATAGTAAACTGTGTGAACACTGTGGCAATGTTAAAGATAGTAAACTGTGTGAACACTGTGGCAATGTTAAGGATTGTAAACTGTGTGAACACTGTGGCAATGTTAAAGATAGTAAACTGTGTGAACACTGTGGCAATGTTAAGGATTGTAAACTGTGTGAACACTGTGGCAATGTTAAAGATAAAGTAAACTGATGTGAACACTGTGGCAATGTTAAAGATAGTAAACTGTGTGAACACTGTGGCAATGTTAAAGATAGTAAACTGTGTGAACACTGTGGCAATGTTAAAGATAGTAAACTGTGTGAACACTGTGGCAATGTTAAAGATAGTAAAC